GCCTTTGAAGTGCTACGCAAGTACCAAATGAAGCTCAATCCGACCAAGTGCGCCTTCGGAGTCTCCTCGGGAAACTTCCTTGGTTTTATGGTAAATAACCGTGGGATTGAGGCTAACCCAGAGAAGATAAAGGCCATGCTCGAGTTGGAGGCACCCAAGACTCTAAAGCAGCTTCAGTGCCTCAATGGCAGGATCGCAGCCTTGAATAGGTTTGTGTCAAGATCGACGGACAAATGTCTTCCGTTCTTCAAAGTTCTTAGGAAGAAGGGACCGTTTGAATGGACGGAAGAGTGTGAGCAAGCGCTAGGGCAGTTAAAAGACTACCTCTGCTCGGCACCTCTACTCGGAAAGCATTACTAGGGGAAAAACTCCATTTGTACCTGGCGGTGTCTGCTAGCGCCGTCAACTCAGCACTGATCAAGCAGGAGGGTGCGAGTCAAAGCCCCGTTTATTACACCAGTAAGGCCATGACCGAGGCTGAGACCAGATATCCCAAAATGGAGAAGCTGGCCCTCGCTTTAGTCACCTCGGCCCGAAGACTTAGGCCGTACTTTCAGGCGCACATTGTTAGTGTACTTACAAAATTTCCCCTTAAGAACATCTTCCTTAGGCCTGAAACTTCAGGACGTCTGATGAAGTGGGCATTGGAATTGAGCGAGTACGACATCCAATTCGAGCCCAGAACTGCTTTGAAAGGGCAAGAAGTGGCCGATTTTATCGCAGAGCTCACTCCACCACCTATTTCGGCCAAGTCCGACCTCCCATGGACGATCTACGTTGATGGATCTTCCAACGAGAGGGGGTGCGGGGCAGGAATCCTCTTGCTCGCACCAGGAGGTGAGCGATTCGAGTATGCTCTACGATTCAACTTTCGGACGTCAAATAATGAGGCCGAGTATGAAGCACTCCTAGCAGGCCTGCGTGTTGCCAAAGGACTGGGGGCCAACCACATTAAGGTTTTTAGTGACTCCTAGCTAGTTGTAAATCATATCAAGGAGGAGTACCAAGCGAAGGACCACCGAATGGAAAAATATCTAAGCAAGGTCAAGTCGCACCTCGTCCAGTTTGGGACATACGAGGTGAGTCAAGTTCCAAGATCTGAGAACTCTAATGCAGATGCTTTAACTAAATTGGCATCAGCATATGAGACCGACCTGGCTAGATCAGTCCCGGTCGAAATCTTGGACACTCCTTCAATCTTGGAGCCATATGTGATGGAGGTTGATACTCCATCACCCACTTGGATGGACCCAATCGTGGAGTTCATCGAAGGAAACCCACCGCAAGATCCGAAGGAGCAAAAGAAGATGACGCGAAGAGCAGTTCGGTTCACACTCCAAGAAGGAATGTTGTACCGACGAGGCTTCTCCCTGCCTCTCCTCAAGTGTGTGACTCCCGAAGAAGGCTTTTACATTCTTAGGGAAGTTCATGAAGGGGTGTGTGGAAACTACTCTGGCGTCAGGTCGTTGTCGGCCAAGGTGGTTCGACAATGGTACTATTGGCCTAGTGTCGAGCAGGATGCAAAGCAGTTTGTGAGAACTTGCGACAACTGCCAGCGTTTCGCAAACATTATCCATCAACCTCCCGACTGCTCACCCCCATCTCGGCCCCATGGCCATTTGCGCAATGGGGGGTGGACATCATAGGTCCTTTTCCTCTAGGCAAAGGACCAACAAAGTTCGCCATTGTCGTTGTGGACTACTTCACTAAGTGGGCTGAAGCCGAGGCACTATCCCACATCACAGAGTCCAGAGTCATGTCATTCGTATGGACAAACATTGTGTGCCGCTTTGGCATACCCAATGCTATTGTGACGGACAACGGAAAACAGTTTGACCATGCAAAGTTCAAGGATTTTTGCAGAAAACTTGGTATAAGCCAGCTCAGTTCGTCCCCTGCGCATCCAAAAGCGAATGGACAAGTTGAAGCAGTAAACAAGATCATAAAGCGAGGGCTCAAGCTAAGGTTGGACTCCAGAAAGGGAAGATGGGCCGAGGAGCTACCTGAAGTTCTGTGGTCATATCGAACCACCCAAAGGGAGTCAACTGGTGAAACTCCGTTCTTACTAGCCTTTGGTTCCGAAGCTGTTGTACCAGTCGAGATCGGCATACCAACAGACAGGGTAGAGCAGTACGAGCCAACGAGGAACGAGGAAGAGCTACTCCTTAACCTGGACTTATTGGAAGGGAAAAGGGAAATGGCTCAGCTGCGCTTAGCAGAATATCAGAATAGAATGGCCAGACATTACAATGCCCGAGTGCGACCTCGACGTTTCCAAGTTGGACATCTGGTTTTAAGGAAAATTCAGAGTCATGTTGGCACCCTTGACCCAAGTTGGGAGGGACCATTCGAAGTAAAAGGTATACTCCGACCTGGAACTTATATGCTGGCCGACCTGGAGGGAAAAGTGCTTGCGCATCCATGGAACGTAGAGCACTTGAAGTGCTATTACCTCTGAAATGTCAAAATAGTCCCAAAATGGGCTTGTAAAAATTTTCAAGGGGCGGAACTTTCAATAAATGGGGTTATTTAATTTCATAACTCCGAGTTCGATTAGAAATTAAATGGGGGCCACGGACTCCCGCAAGGCTTAAAATCGGCAACCTCAGAACCCACGGGTTCGAGGTGCGATGTCAAAATCAATTACGATCCAAAATTCAATCCTTTGAACGCTTAAGTTAAAGGTG